CCACTGTGACGGCGCCAAGGCGCTGCTGGCGAAGTGCCAACAGCAGCAAGTGGTTGGGTGCCAGCCCTCAGCAAAGGAAGCCCCTGGGATCCCACGGGCACAGCCGGGCTTCCCTGCCTGGCACAGAGCCCAACCCACGATAGGAGCTCGGCCTGGGGGACCATCTCCAAGTGGGCAACAGCATGACGGGGCCCCGCACTCCTGAATGCAGAAACGGCCGTACACGGTGCCTCAATGACCAGCTGTGGCCTGGCCAGCAACAGCTGAGGCTTGAAGGCCACGCGCCTTGGTTGGTGTCAACTGGCCAGGTGACATGCTCCGGTTTCCTCTTCATAAAATGGGTATAAAGTACCCATTTTTAGAAACAGCATTTCATTATTTATGAAGGGGGTAGAAGGGCACACGCGGCCAAGCAGGCCTGGAAGTTTGCCTCTGGGACGCCGCTGTTCAACAGCTGAGCTGGTCAGTTACGTGCTGCTCGATTTCATGTGGTGACCCTGCCAGTTAACGGCGAGATGTGGCTGGGACCCCCCACCGGGCACCTGCTCCCAAGGGGCTCCTTTGCCGCCCCCCCAAGGAAGCAGAAAGGGCTCATCTTGCCTGTGCAGCCCAGAGGTAGTCCAGCCGCAGTCTGATGTCCACCTGCCGGGCGTGCAGGGCCAGCGTGCATGCGAACAGCAGGATGGCCACGATTGGCTCGAAGCTGCGGCCGGAGACAGAGCCGCCCCTTGGGGAAGATGAGGAGGAAACCCAGTCAGTGTCGAGACTGTCATCAAACACAAGCCCATCTGAGGAGCGCCCCTGAGACGCGACACCCGCAGCCACACTGGGGTCAGACGCAGGCTGAGAGCCACGTCTCGCCGGAGCCCGAGGCCTTCATGGAATTGGGGCTGAAATGGGGAAATGGAAAAGCCACCGACCAATGAGCTTCCCGACCAGCAAACCAGGACACATCACGACACGCGCTCCGCTCTACGCTGGGGGACAGTCGCACCTACCCCACAGCCCTGGTGTACCCGCTGAGCTCCAGGACCAGGATGTAAGACGCCGTGAGCACGGACAGCAGGATCATTTTGGGCAAGGAGGACACCCGCAGGAAGATGGTGAGCGGGAGGGTGCCCACCAGGCCGCAGAGCAGGGCGTGGGGCGCGGACTCGCAGGGTGGGGCAGGCAGCACTAGGCTCTGGGCTCCGGGCGACAGGGCCACCAGGGACCCGTTGGGACTGGAGCTCCAGTCCCAGGGCAGGCAGCCCACCTGAAGAGGGACGGAGGGCAAGACGCATGGGGGTGAGGGGACTCTTCCAAGACATGGAGCCGCCCCTCTTCCCCAAGCCTCCGCAGCCTCCCCTCAGCCCCCCGCCCCCCAGGTGCGGCCACCGGGACTAGAGCTTCCTGCCTGCTCCCGGTCCCTCAAGGCCCCTCGCGACCGGAGGGAGGGGCAGGATCCCAGCACCTGGACGACGGGGCAAAAGACCCCTAAAATCCTGCCAGCCCCACCTCCATCCTGTTACTCTGCCCCAGCTCTGTCCTCTGCACACTATGAAGGAACAGGTCTCCCTGTACCAGCAGTAGATTGCATTTCCTCCCCTGGATGAAGCCCCCCACCTCTTGGGCAGCCAGGCCTGTCTCATCCCCCAGCGCTCCCCCGGCCCCTGGGCCGCCCCCTCAGGGCTCCACAGGTGTGCCCTCATTGCCCACTGCTCGCCACGCCCAGCCCGCTGGGAGTCAGAGGTGCTCACCACACATCCTTGGGCCACAGAGTAGATCAAGACCGCTATGAAAATGCACAAGATGGTGCGAATCTGGATTGTCAGGCATCCTGGGAAACACTGAACAATAAAGTATTATTTTTAAAACAGCTTCTTACGGCAAAGGGACTCCTGTCCACAGTCAATAGTCACAACAGGTGTGCAGGACGATCTCAGCGAGTCTCACCCACTGTTCACCCCCACACCAGTTTCTTGGCCATTTCCTTACAGTTAATCCCCAGGTGGGAAACTTGCCTGAAAAGGAAGACACTGCACCTTAAGCTAAAACGAGCAACGCTCCCCATCCCTGCATTGTGACTTTGAGTGGCGCTAAAATTAACTAAATACGTTAACTTGCTATTTTCATAATATTAAATCCTTCTATCTCATAAATGGTAAGAATTTCCACTTATTGGTGTCTAACATGCTTTAAACAAGTTTTACCATTTTCTTCAAACAGGCTTTGTATAATTTTTATTAGACATTTTATTTTAAATTTATTTGTTCTAAATACATTTTGCAACATTCAACAATTTCATGGATAAAACTCCAAGATCTTTTTAGACCCACACTCTTGAAATTAGAAATAAAAATGAAATTAAAGACCACACTGGATGGTCAGTTGTAATGTGGCCGTAGCTGCTGGGTGACCTCACTGTGGCTAAGCCACGTGGCTCTAGGGTTTAAACCAGCGGTTCTCAACCTTCTTAATGCCACAACCCCTTAATACAGTTCCTCATGTTGTGGTGACCCCCAACCATAAAATTATTTTCGTTGCTACTCTATAACTGTAATTTTGCTGTTATGAATCGTAATGTAAATATATTTTTGTTTT